TGCCTTGAAATCCCCGACGTACCGCCAGCAGTCTCATCCTCACGGTCCGGATGCACATGCTTAGTTTCCATACAAATAGAATTTGGTTTCTTGTTACTCACACCCACCTCTTATTGCTCCACGGGTAGTGACCACCATGCGCGGCCTCTCTCTGTCAGCCGTACTGGCAGTGAGCTCCGTAATTTCTGGGGTACGATCCCAATTCCAAAACTTGCCCATTCACAACGTCATTCGAGCCCCGGACCAATTCATCAACGATACAGGCCTTACGGATCTTGTGGGATGGGACCCATACTCTTTTTTTATTAAGGAAAAGCGCATATTTCTACACGCAGGAGAATTCCATGGATGGAGGCTACCTAGCATATCCTTATGGAAGGACATAATGCAGAAGACAAAAGCTTCTGGGTTGAACTCGATTTCGATGTATGTTCATTGGCATCTAACTAACCCAAAAAAGGGCGTCATCGATCTGGAGGGCATTAATGATTTACAACCTTTTTTCGACGCGGCAAAGGCAGAAGGCCTTTGGGTGATTGCGCGTCCTGGACCATATATCAAGTAAAATTTCCGCTACCATTGGCTATCTTCGTTTAATGATTTCTTTTTTCAGTTCAGAGACAACTGCAGGTGGTATCCCAGGACATGTTCTCACTATTCCCGGTTTGTCACTTTTCATTGCGCGACAATTTGAACTAAAAAGTTAACAGGTGATACACCATGGAATCTGTACAACGGTGTATTACGGAGCAACGCGACATCTTTTCATGATTCATGGCAAGATTATGTGCGTTTGCTATTTCTTCCCTATGGTCAACCCTGAACATAAATTCCAGTTCAACGCGGTCATCCCAATAATTGCCAAAAATCAAATCACTCAAGGCGGGCCGATTATTATGGTACAAGTTGAAAATGAATATTACAATGGAGGTAGGCCTTTCACCCCATGTGTCCCATATCTATCTCTTCTAATGTGTTGCATAGCTGGGCAGAACGAGTATGTAGAGGAGCTCCGACAATCGATGCTTCGCATGGGCATCGTGCGTTTCCCGCTACATTGTAGTGGCTATATTCATCCTAATCGTCTCCAAACAGGTTGTTCCTACATCCGTTAACGACCCTGGGATGTTCCAGAACCTCGTCGACTCCGCAAATATATACGGTATCGACGCCTATCCCGTTAGCTTCAATTGCTCGAACCCAACATTTTGGAGGGACATACCGACTGCGTGGAGGACTTATCATAAAAGTGTTACACCCTCAATCCCATTCTTCTTCCCAGAGTACGTCTGTATTCTCCTCGAATGTGAAGGTCACTTAGCTTTTCATAGGTTCCAAGGTGGAGGGATTGATCGCTGGGGGTCAACCGGTGGATATGAGGGCTGTAGGCAGCTGACGAATCCAAAGTATGTTCAGTAGCTCCGTTATCTTTTTGGCCTAACAACGCGGGTACGTGTCTCAGTTTCCAACGAATATACAATCATCATCTATGGGCCAATGGCGTTACAGCGGTGTGTAGTTTCCCTATTATGTATACAAATATGCTGAGGAAATATGGTTAGATTGCCTACTATATGTTCTATGTGGGTGGTATTCATCTGACTGTGTAACTTTGACTGAGCGCAGATAGGGCGGTACATCCTGGGGACAAATTCCTCACAGTTGTAAGTTATGTTAAACCTCAATGTAAAAATACCAATTAATAGCTTATCTTTCAGCTTCGTACACATCCTATGTGAGTGTCTGATCCGGCTGCATTTCTACATTGATTTCATTGTTGAATTTTAGGATTGGGGTGCTGCTGTTCGGGAGTCTAGAGCATTGTCTGAGAAGTACGATGAGGTTAAGCTTCAGGCCCTTTTCTTGCGTTCATTCCCAGACATGCGAATGACGGATTGGATCGGGGAGGATAACACCACGGTTACGGGCGTGTCGACAACCCATCTACGGAATCCGGTCACTGGGAGTTCATTCTATATTACACGGCACGTGAATACTAGTACATGGTATGCTATTTCCTGGTCCTTATATGCTAGAAATTTAAGGAAATGGAACACTGTCCAGGGATGTATTGTCATTCGATTTGACTGTAGGTATGAGCGGAGCCAGATTACCCGTTGTTTTACCTGGTCGTGATGGACTCATAACTGTGTATGTGATATTTGTGTCCCAAAAAGCTCAAATTTCCTCATCTATCCAATCCTTTTAGCGCCGACTTACCGTTTGGAAAAGGGCAAAACATTGTGTACTCTACGACGAATCTCCTTAGCACTTTCAACTTCGACGGCGAGGACACGCTGGTGGTGTATGGGACAGTAGGCATGACGTACCAAATGGCATTTACGTTTGACGCTCAACCAAAAGTCACTGTTACTGGGCCTACGAAAGTGACCACCAAATACTCGACGGTTAGTCTCTCGAAATTTTTATTATCATTTTTACCAATTATATGGATAGAAGAATAAAGCTGCCGCGTTTACTTTTTCTGTCGCATCAGGGATGACCTCAATCCACATGCGTACTGCAAAGCAAAGTCTTACTGTGCTTCTCGCCGACTACAAGGCAGCTACCAAGTTTTGGATGCCAACTATTGCTGCCGAGGAGGGCGGGGATTTCAAGGAGTTTGAAGATATGAACGCCACTACACCTTTCCTCATCTCTGGCCCATATCTTGTCCGAAAAGCGGTGGTTGAGGATAGTACGCTTGCCCTAACGGGTGATTTGGAAGGAGCTGCGACAACGCTGATGGTCTTCGGGACGAACCGCGTTAAATCGGTCTCATGGAATGGGGCAAGGGTGGCCGGAGCCAAAAGGAACTCGTTGGGGGCGATCGAAGCTACCCTCACTGGTCCTTCGGGGCGGACGGTGGATAGCATAAACCAGGGATTGCCTAATCTAATGAAAGCGAAGTGGAAGTACGCCGATTCTTTACCAGAAATCAAAGAAACCTTCGACGAGTCCGGTATGGTTCTCGCGGACCACACTGAAACGACTAGCAAGTTCCCCCCGTACTATGGTGGCCCTTGGGTCCTCTATGCAGACGACTATGGCTTCCATGTAGGCTCTTCTCATCGGGGTATTCGTAATATGTATGTTGACACACTTGCTTTGTCAGGGTGGTAACCTTGTTTGGCGTGGTACCTTTGAGCATAGCGCTAACGCTGATGCTCCGACGGCGGTCAACATTTCTGTATCTGGAGGACAATTCTTTGCCGCTTCGGCGTGGTTAAATGAGCATTATCTTGGAGATTCTTACACATCGCTACCCACCAACAACGAATCCTGGCCAGTAACTCCGGACATGCTCCGTGAAGGGAAGAACTATGTGACAGTTTTGCAAGAGTAAGTTCTGAATTTCCCTTTTTTCAGTTTGTAACTAAGAAAAATGCAGTCATATGGGACATAACTTAGCCGGTCAACTCGTGTGCTGTACTCCGGGAGGTCGCCAGCGTGATGTCCAACAACCTAAAGGCATTCAGGTATATCCCACGTTTAAACTCCACCTCATTTTATTTACCATTCTATCAGGGATACTATTTGGAAGGACGCAAAGAAGATGAGCAATTCACCAAATGGATGCTGGCAGGAAACCTTGGTGGGGAGGATTTCCCCGACAAAACAAGGAAAATCCTAAACGAAGGTACATTTACCTGCATATGATCAGTCGCTGTAGCCTCATTTCCCACTTCCAGGTGGCCTTTATGCTGAAGTAAGCTGGATCTTCTCTTGACTGTTACTGGGCCTGCCTAAGTTTTGATCAGCGCATGGGTTGGCATCTGCCCGGGTTTGACGATTCAGCCTGGGAATCACGAACACCATTCAAAGGCCTTGATAGGCCCGGAGTACGTACAGTAACGATATGGCCCTTTTTTGAAGCTGATGTACCTGGATTTTATAGGTAGGATTCTTCCGCACAACCTTCAAACTTAATTTACCAGCAGACCACGATATTCTGCTTTCCATTGTGTTTGACTCCCAACCAGCCAACTACCGAGGTAGGTTCTGGCATGGAGGTCACTTGTGGCTCGCTAATCTCGTGAATAGCTCAACTTTACGTCAACGGCTGGCAAATGGGTAAACGGGTGGCCAATGTAGGACCGCAGGATTCGTTCGTCGTGCAAGAAGGGATTCTCAATTACCACGGAGAGAATACCGTGGCCGTCAGTTTATGGTCCCTTGGGCGGAGTGCTGGGGACCTCAGAATCCCGAGCTTAAAGCTAGTAGCAACCGGCATTTATCGTGGGGGAGTCGGCGCAGTAGCCGTAAACAATCCCGGCTGGGATAGCCTTCGCGGAGTATAAAAAGGATCAAACTTGTATTGAAAATTTTACTCCCAATTGTATTTTATGTGGGAAAGATCCTACTATTTTATCCTACTGACAAGAGGTGTGCTCAATAGATTAGATGTAGGAAAGGGATTTTCGTTTTCCACGACGTCTTGTTCGGGAGCGCTGTGGTGATGCGACTTGGGTGGTGATTATAAGAAATAAGAATCAGTGTTTAGATAAGATATATACAACTATATCGGTCCACCCCAGTAGACAAGGTACAGAGACGGACCGCACGACTAGCATGGTTACAAGAATACTCGACAACGGCGTGCCCTTTAATGGTTTTGTTATCGATAAAAGATAGAAAATAAGTGAAGAGGATATCGCATAATTTGTGGCCGTGTTTGAACGTCTGGATATTAACCTGGGACTTGATGCATGATAGCATGATGTACAATCCCTGTGAAACTCAGGTTTGGCGGTTAACACATATTTGTATCAACAGTGGTCTGTCAATAACCGGTGCAGAGGTAGTACTACTATGACATGGGGCATGGTTTCTTTGCGGGTCACCATGATAATAAATACCCTACGTGTAGTCCTGATGGGCCGTAGGTAGGCATGTTCGTAGTTCAACGAACAAAAAATAAATCGGCAACGATCAAAATCCCGACCAACGAAAATAATCGTATTATGAATAGTGATGACTGTCAGAAGGGTGGAATTCATGGGCGTTTAGCGCAGTGGTAGCGCGTATGCTTTGCAAAAAGCCACACTTTGCGTGCGGTTCTCGTGTGTATAAGGTCCAGGGTTCAATCCCCTGAACGTCCAACTTTTTTAAATCCAAGTTTTCTGGTCTCCCGATCATTGTATCCCATGACTTTGGGGTTTGAATTTGAAGCTTGCGTGGGATGCCATCATTTTTGGTATGGCGGTAAGTGACTTCGAGAGCAAGCCTCAAAATACGCTGTCACCAAGTCCCGTGACTTAGTGACATGTCGTGACTATGTTCCACAACAGACAACTCAACCTCGAGCAACACTACCCTCCTCACTAATATGGGTATCAAAGGCCTCACGGGACTACTTTCTGAACATGCACCCGCGTCCATTAAAGAGCATGATATCAAAACCCTTTTTGGCCGCAAGGTCGCCATCGACGCCTCAATGTCTATCTATCAATTCCTCATTGCGGTCCGACAAAGAGACGGCGAAATGTTAACGAATGACGCGGGAGAAACCACCAGCCACCTCATGGGATTCTTCTATAGGACCATTCGGATTGTGGAGAACGGTATCAAGCCAGCCTATGTGTTTGATGGGAAGCCTCCTGAGATGAAGAAAGGAGTGGTGAGTGCATAGGTCGTGTTTTGTTTATCCGACTAGTATTGAGGACGTGTCGTTTAGCTGTCCAAGCGGTTTGAAAGACGGGCTGAGGCGCAGGCGGATAATGAAGAAGCTAAGGAGACGGGCACTGTTGAGGATATGGACAAGTTTGCACGAAGGACCGTAAAAGTTACGCGGGAACACAACGAGGAATGTCGACGGTTGCTTAAACTTATGGGGATTCCTGTTGTTGTTGTGAGTTGTCACCTTAGGCATATCAATTCCATTGCTAACAATGTAAATAGGCACCGTCAGAAGCAGAAGCACAGTGCGCTGAACTAGCGCGTGGGGGAAAGGCATGTTATATCACTTTCGCGTCTCCACAAGTCTGACATACAATAGGTCTATGCAGCTGGTTCAGAAGATATGGACACACTGACTTTTTCTGCACCCATTCTGTTTCGTCACCTCACTTTCTCAGAAGCAAAAAAGCAGCCCATCAGCGAAATTAATCTACAAGCCGCGCTTGATGGCCTGGATATGAGTATGAGTCAGGTGATTCTTCTTTCTCTGGTGCAGTACGGAACATTGATAAGAATTGGAACTGGGCCCAGTTTGTCGACCTTTGTCTCCTTCTTGGCTGCGATTATCTCGAGCCAATTAAAGGTGTTGGCCCAAAATCAGCGCTAAAACTCATCCGGGAATATGGTGGGCTAAAAGGCGTCGTAAAACACCTACGAGAAAAGTTGGTCCAATCGATCTCCTTAGAATTGATCGTTGATATTGGGCTTTAGAGCGGCGGAGAAAGCGGCTGCAGACGCCGCTCAATCTGAATCAGAGGAAGAAGACGAACCTGCGCCTACATCTGACGTTGAACGCCCAGATGAGTCAGGTAATGAAGATGAAGAGAAACCTAAACCAAAGCCCAAGAAGAAAGTGAAAAGTAAAAAAGCGAAAGGAGGAATCCAGATTCCTGAAGAATGGCCCTGGGAGGACGCGAAAAAAGTGTTTATGAAACCTGATGTTTTGTCAGCTGATGAAATTGAGGTGTGTTCTGATGGTCTTGGGTGTCGTAAAACGGATAACATTCGATTAATAGTTGGAATGGAACAATCCTGATGTTGAAGGGCTGGTTCAGTTCCTGGTGACGGAGAAAGGATTCAGGTGATTTTGGTGTCTCGTTTTGGTGGTTATTATTTTAAACACCACCATACAGCGAAGAACGCGTTCGTAAAGGGGCGGAGAAGCTGCAGAAATTCCTCAACAGCAAACAACAGGGCAGGCTAGACGGATTCTTTACTGTCAAGCCGAAGGAGAAAACATCACCAGCGAAAGGGAAAGGAAAGGCATCAAAATCGGACGCCGCAAAAGGGAAGGGTACCAAACGCAAGGTAATGATTCTCTATTTTCATGGCCGTCTTCTGCGGACTCATGAACTACTAAACAGGGAGCTAGCGATGATAAAGGGGGGAGTGGCGCGAGTGGTGGGAAGAAAGCAAGAACAAAGAAATGAATCGTGGGCGCTACTCAGTAGCCAAGGCAGTTGTTCAATGATGGCCAGCGAACTTTCAGGGTGTTTTGACGCCCAAAAACCTCACTTCCTTGTTTTTCAACTCGCTCTTTCGGCCCTTCAGGACCAGATGCGACGTCGGTAACTGGGACAAGTCGTAGCGTGTGGAACATTTGGCCTTTCTATAGATGTTCTTTAATACCTCTCAGTGGACCCAACTTGACTGTAATCACGACCAGTTTTCACTTGTCGATCAATTCAAGTTCGGACATACGATCCGGAATGTTCAGCCCAATGTCCCTGAAGAATATCACACAAACAACTGTTAACATGTCTTTCAAATCTCTCCTCAAGCCTCTGAGCGTCCCAATCGCCCAATTGACATTCTACTCTAAGATTAGACCCAATTGAATCGCTGCTCTCTATTCAAATATATTCGCAATGGCTTAGAGTGGCAGAGGATAGGGCATGTTTGTCCAACGTTCGCCCAAACTGTTTTCTGATAGGCTCACGGCAAAACCTAGGCCTTTAACCTGAAGTTGTTCAAATTTAAAATTCAGCGCACAACATCCGTCCGTACCATCCGGGTACCTCGGGGTAAGTAAAGTGTATAGCTTCCAGTTCATATTAACATCCATCACAATGTGACTCGGTTTTACGGCGGTGTAGTGAAGCAGAAATGAAGCCACATTCGAGTGACCGTGATGGCACTGGTGGGTCGCCGATGGGGTTGTACAGGACTGACAAGGACGTAATATAGGTGACAATTCGTAAATTACTTTGAAATTCCCCCGGCTGACGTCGCTTCATGAGGTAGAATGCAGAAGAAACACGTGGACTGTGGGACAGATCAGTTAATGAGCGAGAGAACTTGCACTCACCCTGTATAGAGCGCTCGAATACTCAACATATCCGACATCTAATCAAACAACTACCCTCGCATCATAATTTGCGACCACTCCCTGGTTTTGGCAGGCTTTGATTGGAGACATCTCATCATGAGGTTCTCGTAGCTAAATGGCGCAAATACCCCCCACTTTATCGCCTAATCGACGGACGGATTCTTACGGCTCATTTCCATTACAAGTTTCCTTTGATCAGTGGCCAAGATTACCCCCATACATAAAATCCCTCAGTAATCGCACTGAACATGGTATCAGTTCCACACACCCATCAGCTCCGAACATGTCGCGCCGAAGTCTCTTCCAATGGGTATCGACCCTACCCAATGAAAGATCAGGACCGCATACGCCCTGGAAATTAGTCCACAGTACAAAGAACCAGGGACGGGGATTTCTCCAGAACTCCTTGATAGCCCGTTCGAATTCAATTCTTCTTCCTTGCCGACTGCAGTGTTCATCACGCCGACATGGACAACCCCTGATTTACCAGGTACAATGCGATTCCCAACATATCCATTATCCAAAATCGAATTGCGATGTAACATTCATTTACTTCCTAGTTTGTTAATGGGTGCTGGTTCCGAAAGGTATAAAAGCTTACTCTGTTTACATCGACCACCAAGAACTCGTCCTCTCAAATTCTTTTCATCTCACGAGTATCATCTATCTCGAGCTTTATCCAGTGATCATGAAGTTCTCCACCGCTCTTGTTGCCCTCGCTGCCACTGTCGTCCCCGCTCTCTCAGCTCCCGCTGCTGAGGCTGCGGTCGAGGCTCACGAAGAGGTCAAACGCGACTTCTCGTTCTACATTTGCGAGCAAGCGTACGTTTTTTTTTTGGACGCTCTCAGATGTTATCTAATTCGTTGTCGGTTCTACCAGTGAATGGCACGGCCGATGCAATACCATATACCCTCCGTGGAACGTCTGCCAACCATTCTCGGCAACTGGACTCTCTGGATACCAAGCCTTCGGCCCTGCATCTGGTTGGTTTCCGTCTTTAGTTTGATAACAGAACATACTAACTTCCGGCTGTAGGTGTGACATGCCTCTGGTACACCGGAGGAAGTTGTACAGGTACCCAGTCCGACTATGTGACATATCCCGGATGGAGCACTGTTCCCGGGTTCTGGCAGTTTAACACAGCTTCGTACAAATGCTGGAATTAGATAAAGATAATTCTCAAATATATTATTGTTCCTGTCACCCCGCAAGACCTTACCAAGGATGATCGATGATCAGTAGACAGTGCGACCACCGTCCGGGATATTGGGTGAGAAAACGAGGAACTGGAATTGGGCCAGTTTTAATCACTTGACAATTTTACTTGAAGGCCTGAGTAGCAACAGAGTACTTAGAGCTCTGACCTCCACGCAAACGTCTCCCCAACTACACTCCCCCAAAATCTGGGTCTTATCATATCGAAAATTTGTGCGACTTGACATAGCTCCATCATACAGACACAAAGTATCGGTTCTGGTCTTCGATATATTTTTATGATCCAAGATACATGCTACATGAGACCCACAAACTTAAACAAGGTACGCCGAATCTACCCAGTTGGCATAATCACTACCTACAGCGGTGGCGATCGTATAGCTTGCAGCCTGACTTGCACTTAAGACTGTCGCGAAACTGGGTCGGGAAGCTCCGCTGGAGCCACTACCAGAGGTGTTGTACTCGGCGAAGAGAATATTGCTTGTGCGCTCATCACCGGTATTCCAGACAGACCAGAGAGCCTTGTTCATTGGGGCAGTGATAACGGTGTTCTTGAAGATGACCCTTGAGGAGTGTTTATGTCAACTCAGTAATAAATAAAAAGGAAAAATGACAAACTTGGCGTATGCTATTCCGGGAAACGTGTCGTTAAGTATAATTCAAATTAGGTGTGAGAAAAACTTCCTTACCTCCCCATGGACGACCGAGGTAAACCTTCCCGCTAGTTCCAGACGCAGCTCCAGAAGCAAGGACGATGGTGTTCTTATCAAAGACATCTAAAACGTGCCGCATTTAGTATGTCGTTTAGGGGGGATTTGTGAAGGCTCACAGCTTCCTCCGTCATTCGATTCACGTCCACTGGCGGTGACCCATCCTGG